GGCGACGAGCAAATGAGAACTCTTGCAAGAGAGGTTATTGATTATGTGGCTTCCATGAGAAGGTAGAAAACTCCAGTGGCTGATCAGTGCCTCCCTGGTCCGCTGGCTTCCCCCTGGTGAAAACGGGTAACAATGACTACCGCTGATTTCCTTCTGTCCTTGGTTTGGTAGGATGACCCAAGCCAGGTGAGTAATTTACAGTGAATCGAGCTAAATAGCCCAGGGGTCCTCAAACTACGGCCCGCGGGCCACATGCAAATACAAATATGTATTTGTTCTCGTTTTGTTTTTTTACTTCAAAATAAGATATGTGCAGTGTGCATAGGAATTTGTTCATAGTTTTTTTTTTAAACTATAGTTCGGCCCTCCAACGGTCTGAGGGACAGTGAACTGGCCCCCTGTTTAAAAAGTTTGAGGACCCCTGAAATAGCCCAACACAGGCATATATGCAGGGCAATGGTCTTCCTTTAGAACAGTGGTTCTCAACCTTGGCTGCACATTAGAATCACCTGGGAATCTTTTTAAAATCCTGATTTCCGGGCCTCATCCTCCGAAAATTGTGTCTTTTTTACTAATGTTGTGGCCCCACCCCATAACAAAGAAACAGAATTTCCGGAGGATGAGGCCCAGAAATCAGGATTTTAAAAAGATTCCCAGGTGATTCTAATGTGCAGCCAAGGTTGAGAACCACTGCTCTAGAAGTCTTTTCAGATGTTATGAGGTCACTAGCATTGCATTGCAGACTTTCTTATCCAAGATGGGGAGGGGGGGCGAGGGGCAGCTGAGGAGCTAGAAATCCCAGCGGCAGAGGGGCCTGAAGACACCCTGTTAATAGGTCGGGGGCCTCTTTACATGCAGGTTGTGGCTCTGAGGGCAGCTCTGGAAAGACCTGGAGCTCCCGGGGAACGGGGTGGGGAAGGAGAGTCCCGGGAGCTTCCTGGGAAGTGTTCCTAGACTAGGACGCCATGGAAAGTGCTTGCTGATAAGGCAGTCTCCGCTCGCCTGGGCTGGAGCTGCGTCCGTCCGTGAACGCGGACAACTCACCCCAACTCCTCTAAGTCCCTTTGGTGCCAACTGCTGGAACTTGATGCGTTTCCCACGCTGGGTGCTGGAATCAGCTGGCTCCTCTGCAGGGACGGAGAGTAGATCTGGGTGTGTGTGGAAGGGGTAAGGCTATGCTGCCCTGCAAGGCTTCCCGGGGGTGGGCTCCTAGGCTGGTGGGGCAGTTCTTGGTCCCAGGGGACCTCCTCCTCCTCTTGAGTGACAGCAGGGATGTAGGCCAGCGCCTTCCAGGCCCCCTCTTTTGGGGTCCCCCATTTCAAAGGCACCTCCGCCGATTTGCTGTCAGCCTGTGAGAAAAGCAGCCTCCCTTGGGAGCAGGCGGACAAAAGGAGAAGGGCGGATGGTGCCTCAAAGGCAGCATCCCTCCTCATCCTTGGAGGTGCTTGGGACCGGGGTGGACTGCAGGTGTGTATAGTAGGTGTTGGGCTTAGGTTCGGGTCTGGCACTTAACACCCCACGCGACTACCTGGTCATGCGTGGGGACCGTCATCAGATGAATGTGGCTTTGACAGGGAGCGGCAGCAGGACAGCCCAGAACACTCACTCCTAAAACACAGTGGTTCCCTCCAGGGTTTTTTCGCATTTGTGCAGACACCGCTTTGGAAGAGAGCACGGTGGAGAAGGAGAGTAGGAATTCACATGCATTTTCCTGCATTTCCCCGGGTTGAGCCTGTTCAACTCTAATTTGACGAGAAAACAAATAGACCAGTTTGCCAGGCGGAGTGACCTGATTCTTGCTGGATCAACATGTGATCAAGTGGAGGTTGTCACCGCCAAGCGAGTGTGACGGACCTGCCTTTCCAGACTAAAATCACAGCCCTGGCCCGCCGGCCGGCCGGGAGCTGCGGAGCCAAGGCCTGGTCTCCGTGTGGGTTAAGAGGTCTCTGGGCTGGGAGCCCACCAGGCCCTGACTATCGCTCTCATCAAGTGTTTCAATTAAGCACTTAGTGCCAGGATCACAGAAACAGCCAGCCTGCTCTCAGGCAGTATTTATTGTTATTATTATTTGGTATTCTTCTTCCCAGTGATAATGTGTGGGCGTGTATTTAGTGTTTTCCTAAAGTAGGCCATGGGGGAGTCCCTTGCCAAGTGCACACTGCTGAGCTGGCAGGCCGGCCAGTGGACACGAACATGGAAAACAGAATAAGAGCTATTACCAACTGGGTGGCCGATGAATCATTGCCCTAACGACTGTATATATCTGTGTCCTCTGCTCCGCTGACACACAAAAGCAGTGCTGGCTAGCCCGAGACTTATTTTTTGGGAAAAAAAAAAAATAAACACACACACATCGGGTTGGCTTTTATTGGAATGCCTAGATGCAATCTATAGTCATCAAGTTATGGAAAATTCAGGTCACATAGAAAGTTAAGAAGGCAAATGAAAAGAACAATACAAATCAGACAAAATTTACATCTCAAAATATCATGAAAGCATTTGGACTGGCTTTGCCTAAAATACTTTGAATATCAATTTTTTTTTCCTGTCCGCTAATTCTTTTTCATGACACAGTCTCCCCGCACCCTCAACCCTTAGAAAACGGTCTTTTGTTTACATATTCCCCAAGGTCACTGTTGCTCGGAAAAGCACGTCCAGATCACAAATCTTTTTTTTTTTTTTTTTAGAAAGAAATAGGCTCATTATACCTACGAACAAGACACTAATTGGGTTGATTTGACTTCATCTAAAATAAGCACCAGGAGAGACTGTAAATCTGTCAGTCACGGGGCCACTGGGGCGGACCGGTCCATGTGGGGAAGGGGGTAAGATTAGGGTTTCACTGCTGAGATGCGGCACAAGCTGCTCACGGTCATTACATCAGGAGCATTTCCGAGCACCTAGACTCAGAGCCCATTTCAACCAAAAGTACGTACAGCATGCTACACAGTCCTGCAGAGCTGCCCCCCACAGAACTGCAGACACCTAGGTTAACAGCTAAAAAAGAAAACGGGCAACAGCCATGTTGGTGTGGTCTGAAATCTCATAGTTTTCTAAGTTGGGGCTTCGTCATACTCGCCAAAGGATCTCCAGGATAAAAAATATCAATGCTAATCTGTGCTTTCATTCTAATAAAATATCAGCATTCATTAGATTAATTACCTCAGTATGCTCTACCAAACACACACAGTCATAGCACTGAGACGGTCAAGTCAGTAGCTATTTCGAGACTTTTCCCAGCCAAATCTGTTTAAGAAACACGCCTACTGTGCAAGTTTGAGTATGTGATACATACAAAGCAGTTAGAAAATTATTTTCAATACATCACTTGAACCTTTATAGTTACGACATGTTCACTTGCTATATTTTATCACCATTATACAGAGAGGGAAACAGTGTGTACTATAGCTCAATGAACTGGGAAATCTTTTCTAAAAATATTTCTGTGGCTGAATTTAGTGCTCACGAAAGAGGTTTGCGAGAGCGGCCGAGCGGGCACGGAGGTGCAGCCCGCGGCTGTGCTGGGCCCACGCACACCCGTGCAGGAGGGCACGGCGGTCAGTTCACCTCCAGCTGCATCTGCCACCGGCTCCCCCGACGGGGCAAAGCTGTTCAAATCAGCTCCCGAGGTGGCTGGGGCCTGTGGGCTTGGGCACGGGAGCTTTGGTCTCGCCTCTGGTGTCCCTCCTGGTGACCCTGGGGTCCACACCCAAGACTGGCAGAATGACCCCGACCTACCCCATCTGGCTCTCTCCCACCTGCTGGGTTTCTGCTGTCTTTCCTGGATCTTAAGACACATGTTTATGGTCTTGGCCACATCAGATCCTTTCCTTCTCAGTTTCATGGAGCACCTGATGTGGTCTCTCACCTCCATCAAGAAATGGAGCTGGAAGGAACCTTAAAGACCCTATGGTTAGATTATATCAACCCCCCACTGACTTTTAGGGCCCAGGGACAGCAGCTGGAACACCTGCCTGTTCTGTGTGTGTGTTTTTTTTTAATTTTGTTATCTTCCGTTACCTTCCACCAGCCTTAGTTTTCTACTGTGCCTCTCAGTTGCTCGTGGTGAGGACACTGGCCTGAGAGAGAGGGAAGGGGAAGGAGCAGTTCTCTGGTTCGCCACCCACCTCGGATTGCACTGTCCTACCCATCTAGTGATAGAAAGCTGCACGTTTCTTCAACCTAATACAAAAATATTAACACTTCTGGACATTATAGGCATAAGTCGTTATATCTCTACAATATAATAATTTATACTGTACAGCTATAACCGATAACAAAAGGTGCAATCCTTTTTTTTAAAAAAATCACACGGTTCACATGTTTTTATCATTTTATTTTTAAGTATAAACTTTTTAAACACTTTACATAAATTAACTCCTCTGAGACTAATATTTGATGTACAGTAAATTGTAATTCATATAAAAATCCATAAACAACTTGTCTCACATAATTTACAAAAAAATCAGGGTTTCCTTTGCTTATCAGGGACAAGGATGGTATTTGCCAGTTTTTTGTTTTTTTGTTGTTTTTTGCCCCTGAGGCAAACCACCAGAGCATTGGGAAATGCAGCAGGAATTCCCCTCGGAGCAGAGTCACGTGTGCCCATGTCCTTGTAGAAAGCAGCACGGGAGAGCATATGGTTGTCTATAAACTGTAATTTCGCCCCACATTTTAAAATGAACACAGATATATATCACATCCTATGCAGAGACTACTTCCTTGTAAGCAAAGGTCGACAACGCGGTGGTATTTGGAGACACTGTACGCATTTGTACCCTCTTAGATACAGGGCCTCAAAGGACCAGATGGCCCAGGGCAAAACGGTTAGGCCTGTTCGTCCGTCCTTTTGTTATTTGTTCCTTTTATTCACACCTTCAGTCCAACTGAGTGCAGCGATATGCATATGTAAACATATTCTTTAAAGCCGATCACCTTTAAGGTCATTCAGAAAAGGGGTTCTGTTTTTTTTTTGTTTTTATTTTTTTTTCCGTGAAATGTTTTTTTTCAAAATAGCGGTCTCATTCTGGAGGAAGGCTCTTCTGCGCCGGAGAGTCCCAGTCGGATTGTGCTACAGACAGATCTGAGCCTTGGCGGGGTTCGGCGGGCCGCGCGCCCCCTCCCGCAGGCTGTCCCCGTCCCCGCGGGGAAGGGGTTACCTCTTGCCGATCTCGCTCTGCCGCAGGAACTGGATGTTGTTGGCGCTGTCGGCCAGCTCCGGGTACTGCTCCACCGACAGCACGTAGTAGCCGTCGTAGCCCTGCACCTTGCCCGCGCTCAGCAGCTGCCGCTTCTCGCCCTCCGTCCAGAGGCGCGCGCCCTCCTCGCCGTCGCGCACCCGCTGCTGCTCGCGCGCCCAGGCCCGGGCGAGTGCGCGCTGCCGCGCCTGCTCCAGGATGCGCGCCTTCTCCTCGTCCAAGGTCATGCCGTAGCGCACGTGCAGCGCCAGCGCGCCGAACTGCATCTCCACGTCGGCGAACCTGCGCGTCCTGCCGTTGACCACGGTGGTGGACTGCGACACGGTCACGTTGATGCCGTTCTCCAGGGCCTTGCGGCCGCTGGTCAGCCGCAGCGTGCCCAGGTCGCTCTCGGGCGTGCTGGTCTTGATGAAGTAGTGCGTGTCCTTGCCCTCGATGGTGAAGTGCAGGTTCTCCAGGTAGAAGGCGTTGTTGAGCACGGCCGCCACCTTGATGCAGTCCTCGTTGGCGATGTTGAGCACGTTGGTCTGCACGCGGCCCTGGCTGACGGCCAGCATGACGCCCTTGCCGATCAGCGACTTGACGGTGGCGAACCACAGCCACGACGGCGCGCCGCCGCCCTTGCGCCGGCTCACCTGGACCTCTGCCATCTTCCCCAGGGACAGGAAGGCCTTGGCCTGCCGTGCCACTTGTTGCTGGACTCCAAAAATGGGCTGTAAAGGGACACAGAAGGGAGCCGGGTTAGAGAACAGCTGTGGCTCTGGGTTGGCGGAGCCAGCTGCCTGGCGGAGGCCCACTCCCCACAGGAAGGGGAAGGGATCTGGAGAGAGCTCCAAGGCATTTATTGAAACCCCCGTGGGTTCTTTCGAGATGAAAAGGCTTAAAAAACCCCTGCGTGGAGGAATGCACGCAAGATGCACACCCCTCAAGCTGATCCAAATGTGTTTGGAAAGGCAGGAAGAGCTAACGCCATCGCGTATTCAGAGCTTTTTAGTTTCCAACGTGGGCAAAATGTTCATGTGTGAGCTTTTCTCTTTCAATTTCTAGATGCCCGTTTCCTGCGTCCCTCCCATTTGGGGCACCCAGCTTAGCAGGTCCGTCATCCCAGCAGCTTTGTCCCCGGGAGGCTGAGGAGCAAGCAGTAAGCACAGGATGTGCAAGGCTGGGGTGTTCAGGGCGGCTCACTGCGTCCCAGTTCACATGCTTTAACCTGTAAACTCTGTACCCTCTCCCAGTGAACACGATTTCAATAGAATGTCATCAGTGAAACTGCAGAACTGAAACGTACAAGGATGCGTGGCTGTGGGACAGCTGGGGATGAGGATTTATTACTCTGGGAAAACATTTATTTTTTGGAGACTTAGGGACAGGGCACACGCTACACTGGCAAACGACTTATTTTATTTTTTAAAAATATATTTTGATTTTTTTACAGAAAGGAAGGGAGAGGGATAGAGAGAAACATAGATCAGCTGACTCCTGCACACTCCCTACTGGGGATGTGCCTGCAAACCAAGGTACATGCCCTTGACCAGAATCGAACCTGAGACCCTTCAGTCCGCAGGCCGACGCTCTACCCACTGAGCCAAACCAGTTAGGGCCTGGCAAATGATTTAAACCAGAGGGCATCTTAACTCAGTCATTTCTTGTACTACCAGATGTCTGTCTGGCCAGTGTTCCCCAAATGGAAACATCTGTTTTATTTGCAGCCGTGAAAGAAACATTTGTTCTCCCCGCACTTGGGGCGGCCTCCACGTCTTTGCCGGAGATTCCCTAAGCTGTCCTTATGGTGCGTGTCTCTTGACAGAGAACCCGAACCGTATTTAAAAGGCTGCCTCGGAAAAGAAGTTGGCAATTCCATTTGTACCGTCAGACGTAAGTGTTTTCAGACATGTTGGGGAGTCGCACACAATTAGGACACGCTTGTTTAATGCACCAGGAAACTGCAGTATGTCTGCATGGCACCGTGGTCAGCGTGGATGCATTTGCAATTAGAAATGTTACAATGGCCCCCGGCCCTGGACACCGATGGGTTTTTGCTTTTTTAAATGTGAAGATGACATGTGAAAAAGGGAATTGCTTTTATGTTATGAAACATGTACCGGGAAACAGAGGTATTGACGCTGTCTGTGTGCGTGTGTGTTTTAGCCACAGTTGCCTTTCCTCTTTGTAGTCATTGAAATGATAGGAAACTGCTCGAGGGGCGGGGGGATGAGTCTTTCTAAGAATCTGCACTCTCGTTTAATTGTTGCGGGGTAGCCCAATTTCTTGGTCTTTCCTTATTTTTGCTTTAAGCTAGAATTCTGTTGCTTTGTTGTGCGTTCCTTTCTGATCTTTGAATGGTGGGAACTGAAAGTAGCATTTTCTGAAATGGCAGCTTTGACTTTGCCATTTTCCATTCTTTGCCATTTTCTATTCTTTTATTTCTCAGAACAGTTACAGGCCTCCTGATCTGTTATTGCCAGGAAAATCCCATAAACACTGAGTTGTAGGGGGAGCCTTGCGTTTTATTTTTTATTTTTAATCATCTCCCATGAAACACGGTTGCTATTTTTTAAAAGGTGACCTTTGTGGCATTGTTTGTGGGCTGCTAATTTGGAATAGGGATCGCCTGCCCTCCTGTTTACTGTGTCTTTGCCTTCAGGTCCCAAGGGCCATAAATGTGCTTTCATGGGCTTCTCTGGAGAAACCCTGCAGTTTATTACCTTTTGCTAATGTCTTTCTGCGTTTTTATTAGCATCACTAAAAACAGATTTAAGCCCGTTTCATGGGCCCCTAGTTTACTGAGCAGAAATGTTATTTTTTTTCTTCCCTCAACGAGTCAAAAAATTAAAAACTGATTTTGGTACAGGTTTCACAAGCACAGTTTGACTGAGTACGGGTACACAGGACACGCGTAAGCCATTTATCACCCTTCCCTAGTTTCGCTTTTCGGTTCTTACCGGGACATCGTCCCACTGCTGACTCTTCACCAGTTCGTAGGACGGCTCCGTCAGGTCAAACTTGGGGACGGGGAACCCAGGGATCGCGTTGTGCAGGTGGAAGCCAAAGGTCACCAGCCAGCTGTTAACATCTGGGAGGAGGACGTTGCAAAGGACAGGGGTTAGGGTTTATGCTGTGCTTTCAGAACTTTAAACTCTTACCTGAGAGAAAGGCCCGGATTCACAAAGAACAACCAGGGAAAGAGCACACGTGTACCATGACCCCACAATTCAAAACCAGCTCCCCACTTTCGGATGCGAAGACAATCACCCCAGCAAGGGCCGTAGGAAACGTGGAGTCACAGACACGCACTGGGACAGACGGAATACGTGGCCCTGTGCGCTGGCTGCCGCCTGTGTTGGTAATCGGGCCGAAACCAGGCAGGAACAGGGCGCAGCAGCGGGGAGAGCCAGGGTTGTTGGAAACGAATGGAATGTGTAGTGTGGTCAGCAAAGGCTGGTCTTAAAGACAAGCTGTGTGTCACTGTCTTTCAAAAGGCATGGCCCAAGGATATGCAGCTGCCCGCAACCCATTTTCTAGGAATAAAAGCCCTAGGTTGAGAGAGTGGAAAACAACAGTAGATGCTTAATCAGAGACGAATGCGGAAAGCTGGCCCGGGGCGCACACTGCTGCCCACCCTCAGCTGGGCCTTCAGAGGCGCCCTCTGCACAGTGGAAACACACTTTTTTTGGGAGAAAACCTGGAAACCTTTCAGATGGTCTTTTAAAATATTTGCCTGTGACTCTGAAAGCCAGTAAGCTCCGAAGAAGGCTTCTCTTCTCTTGGGAGGTTATGCTCTTGCAGAAGTGCTCAGCGGGCGTGCGGCTCTGGGACTCTGGTTGGGTGTCGATGATTCTATATGTTAAGCTGGGAAGTGGGAAATTGCATTTCACCTAATAGAGTTTATGCCAGCCCATCTCTCTTTTGATGTTTTTAAGAAAATGCTGCTGTGGCATTCCCTGCAGTCCACATTGCTAGGAGCGGAGGAAATCGGGAGTGTGGCGTCCCCGCCTGCCAGTCAGCCCGTCAGCACCTCGCAAAGAGCCCGGGATCACTGCCCGTCACCATGATGGAGTCGCTTGCTTCCTATCTCCTTCTCTAGGGCACCAACTCTCACCCCACCCCATTGCCAGGCCGGCTGGCTCCTTGTCCAGGTACCATATGGCTCTAAAGTCAGCGGTATTCTCCCTCTTTTAAATGGGGGGTGGGGTGGTGGGAGAGATAAGCCCCAAGTTCATCATGTAGGACTATCTATCTGTCTGTCTGTCTATCTATCTATCTATCTATCTATCTATCATCTATCTTGTATTTAGAGAAAATCCCTTCTCATGATTGGTGGAGTACTGGAGGTAAGGACTCTCCTACTACAACCAATGTCTGTGTAACAGTGAGAGCCAGAGGGTCTTCAGTGTTGAAAAGCACTGCCAACGTAATGGGACATGGCTGTGGAGGTAGGCTGAGGAGCCCCGAAGGAGGCACCACGAGGGCGTGGCTGAGTTCGGACACGGAGTGAAGGGGCTTTCAGCGGGTTCACATGGCAGAGAGCTACGGACAGCGTTAGAAATGCGGGAAAAGCAGGAGGCAGATGGAGAGTGAACTGGGGGCAGCGTCTGGAGAGCCGTCCTGAGAACTGAGAAAACGGACATCTCGGTACACCGGAAATGCCGAGCAAGAAAATGACAGCCTGAAGGAGCATCTATCTAACACAAGCAAAGGCAACACAGAAAACCCCCAAACGAAACCATAAAGCAGGGAACCTTAACTGCGGAGTGCAGCTCAGGAATGAACGGTGGAGGCAGAAGGATTCAGGGTCCTTGGAGTGGAGGAGGAGTGAAGAAGTCAGCTATTTAAGGGAACTGGGCGTGCTTGCTGGGTCCCTGTCTGTTTCCTGGTGGCAGAAGTGGGATCTGATGCTTTCAATTGCATCACGCACTAACCTCGGGAAGATCTTAAATCTATGCCCTGAAGATCAGTGTATCTATTAGTAGTCCGAGGACTGTATCACATGGTAATGAAGGTGGTAGTATAAGGGGACAGGAGTGAGGACACAGTGTCCCCTGGCTAAGCAACTGATGGGAGAAACGGTTCCTCTGTTGTCCTGAGGTGATGGTGGTGGACAGTTAGTTCAACTCCTCCCAGGGATGGGATGCTGAGCCACACTGTGCTGTATTTCACACCCATCCTTTCCACTAGAATTGACACGACTTGTCTACAAAGCCACACAGCTGGTAGGAGAGGGGGCGGGACTGGAACCCCAAGTTCCATGGTGCCTGCATCTCCAGGTCACTTCCCTTCAGTGACTGGATTCCATGTCATTTCAGAAAATCGTGGCCTTGGGCACTGGCAGGCAGAACAGAAGTAACAAACTATGTCTCCGTTTCCCTTTTTGGTTTCTCTATGGTTCCCCAGAGAAATAAATGCATTTAGGAGGCGAGGCATTTGATTTTGCATGAGTAAAGTACGAAGTTAAAAAGAAAGCAACTCCAATTATTTTGTGCATTAACCCAAGGATTAAAGTAATTCCGTACCCGGCAAGGAAGTGAGATGCTGCTCACCTGTGATGTAGTCTTTCACGTCATGGATTTTGCTTGCAGGATTGTTATTCCTGAACATGTACAGGTTGAAAGGAGCCGGGTCCCTCCCGATTCTCCTCCAGATTTCTATGTCAGGCGTCGTCCACCGTCCTGCCAAAATGTCGTAATCCCTTTCTCCGAAGTGGATCAGTTTTGTGAGTGGGTCATACAGGCCACCATGAAACCCAATGACCAGCTGGAAGTCAATATTGGAGTCGAAGTAGATTTCGCCGTAGGCGGTGTACTGGATCTGCTTGAGCATGAGCCCGTTGCTACTGAAAACAGCCAGCGGCGTCCCGGTGTTGTCCGAGGCGATGTAGAACTCATCCCCGCTGCTGATTTCCATGGCAAACAGATGTCCCTGGAGATCGTAATAGAGGGAGGTGATCTCTGAGCTCGAGTGGTTGTAGACGTGCGTGATCCTCGTGGGGTAGATGAGGTCGGCGTAGAAAAACTGCAGGTGCTGTCCCAGGCTGGTTTTGCTGGACACGCGCCTTCCCAGGCCGTCGTACCGATAGATGACGGTCCAGCCGCTGCCTTTGCTGTAAACCCGCGTGAGGAGCCCCTTGGAGCTGTACTCGAAGATCTCCGTGCCTCTCTGCCGCAGGAAGCCGTCTTCATCCAGCCGGTACTGGACGTCCCCCAGGCGGGTGATCCTGTCTCGCAGGTCGTAGCGGAGCGGGGTCAGGCGCGCGCTGTTGCTGGGGTTCAGCAAGTGGAGGTTCCCGTTCAGGTCGTAGTTGTAGCGCCACATGATCTTCTCGTTGAGATACACGGTCTGCAGCTGGCCGTCCACGTCGTACTCGTAGGCGTACTTGGTGGTGTTGGCGAAGGGCCCGATTTTGATCTCTCTCTTGGTGACCCGGCCCATGTTGTCGTACTGGATGGTGATCCAGTACATGAGGGACCGGAAGATCTCGTACTGAATCTCCTTGATGCGGCCGTGGGCGTCGAAGTGCTTGGTGTACGTCATCACGGCCGTGGAGATGATCTGGTTGATGTCGTAGTAGATGACGCCGAACTTCCCAAACTGCTCGACTTTGCCGGAAATGTCGTCGAACTGGTAGAGGTCGATGGGCAGCGGCGTCTCGTTGATGACCCCCTGCATGCTGGTCACGCGGAAGCTGTTGTCGTAGCTGTAGTCGAAGCGCGCGTTGACCATCCCGTCCTCGCTGAAGCGGAAGATCTGCCTGTCGATGAGGGGGCCGATCTGCCGGTACCGGATGGTGCAGATGAAGCCGTCGCTCTGCAGGTTCACCGTCTTCAGGACGCCCGCCGCCTCGTCGTAGGTGAAGCTGACCCGCGTGCTGTCGTATAGGATCTCCGAGAGCCGGGTCTGCCTGCGGTACTTGAACAGGACCCGCCGGCTGGTGCCCAGGAAGGCCGTCTGCAGCAGCAGCCCCTCCTCGTTGTAGTCGGTGATGACGGAGGCGTTGCTCTCCGGCGGGTTGTAGATGTTGCGGTAGTAGCCGATGGAGCGGATGGTCTGCATGGTGTGGCGCGCCACGCTGGGCATGGTGATGGCCGACAGCCGGTCCCACAGGTCGTATTCGAAGATGTACTGGCGCTGGCTGTGCAGCAGGAGCACCATGGACTGTAACGAGAGGACACACCGTTACGCGGCGCTGTGAACGGGGAAGCAGAAGCAAGGCTTAGCGACCACGGACACGCGGAAACATGCCACCGGGAAATTGATTTTTTTTAAAGTATATTTTTATTGATTTCAGAGAGGAAGGGAGAGGGATGAAAACATCAATGATAAGAGGGAATCACCGATTGGCTGCCTTCTGTACGCCCCCCACTGGGGATCGAGCCCACAACCCGGGCATGTGTCCTGACCGGGACTTGAACCATGACCTCCTGGTTCATAGGTCGACATTCAACCATTGAGCCACGCCGGCCGGGCTGATTTTCATTTTAACTGAGTTACCCTTGACCTTGTACATTGCTAAGGATTCCCTGCCTACTTTGCTTGGGTGCTTAATCGTGAGGGGGCGGCGGGTTCTGCAATCAGCGGCTCAAGATTCATAATGTGCCACGTGTCAGGACGCACGCTTCCTCCCCAGGCACGCCCACCGAGCGGCAGGCTGTCGATGGGCCTGGGTAAATCGGAATGCAGGCCTGGGCCCAGCTGCCTCGGAGACACCATTTCCAGGTGCAAACAGCATCTGGGAAAGGCAGTGCTGTCCACCATGAGCAGTTAATTCAGGAGGGCGGCTCCCCCCTCATTTGACTGAAGAGCCGCTCAAATCATGTTTCAATTTCCAGTGGGTGTGGGGGCGGAGCAACACCTTCAAAATATCGTTTTATGAAGAAGAGACATAAAATGAGCCCCAAGTGGATAATGCGTCCGTAAAGCATCAGCGTCAGGAAACATTGCTAGCATTAGCACATGGCGGGTGAGGGCTACCAACTCCCTTCACAGAAACATGGACCCGGATGTGGGTTTTGCTCGTTTGTCTGCAGACTCTTGCGTGGCATCTGTAGCCGCAATGCCATCTACATGCTGCAGTCGCCCCTGAGCGTGCCCATCTCTTCCGGACCTCAGGGGCCATGAAAGGTCTCTGGGCTACACGCTGCTTCGGTGTTAAATTACGGAGTAAATGTATCCCTAAACATTAGCTTTGCTTATTTAGCAGGTAACTGCAGGAAGACAAAAGGCACACATCTGCTGGGCCAGAGGCTTTGGCTGGATAAGTGGTGATCGTCACACCGCAGGGCGGCTCTTCCCCCAGGAAGCCTCCTCGCACCCGTGAGACCAGCGGCAAGGCTGTGGAGCCGGAGGTGCCCAGGGGGCCGCCCTCGGGTCACCTGCTGTGCGGGTTGGAGGGGGACGGGACACTGAGATGAACAATCCCTGCCCACCATCCCTTGCGCTTTCTCTTCTGCCTGCCATCTCCAGCAGCAGCTGCGTGCCCAGCCTCTGTAGCACCTCCGTGGGCAGGTCCGGGGGTCCTTTGTCCACAGGCTGAGCGTCCATGTCGCGAGCGTGGTTCTGATGGTTTGCATTCCTCCGGGCGCTCGGACTGTTGCGCCGGAATCAGTGGGTAGTTTTACAGTCACTCAGAATCACCTTGGATGGCAGGTGGTGGAATGTTAGTTGTTTTGCTCTGTTGAAGGCTTGGCTGAGTGTGCCTGTCCTGGCAGGAAATGGAGCAGGTTTGGGCGGACGTGAGGGACTTTGGAGAGATGATGACCAAGTCCCCCCTGGCTTCCTGACGCCCGAGGATGCGTCACAGTGACCTCGGTGACGCTGCTGTCATGGTCAGGGACGTGCTCCCAGGCTGCCCGTCCGCGTTCCTGTCACCTTGTGATCACTCTCATCAGGGTTGGGGTTTGGACACTCGTGTCCCTGGTGTCCCGTGTCTGATGGGAAGGGTGTTCCAGGATGAAGCCATGTTCCCCAGGGAGACGTGTCCCAGGCAGGTGGGTGGGGGGTGAAATGCTTTCCAGGGTCAGGATTTGTTCCCGGCAGGCAGGTGTGTGGGGCTTCCTCTGTGGTTCCTCAACAGCCAACCAATAGCGTGACTGCGTGCAGGGGGGCGGCTGGTGTGGAGGGAAGCCCTCATCTCAGGGCGCATGTGGGTGGGTTTGCCAGAGGTGAGGTTGGCAGGCAGGGCCCTCGCTGGGGCGTCTGGGGTTGGGGGGCTGCCTGAAGGCAGCAGCATCCGACCGTGAACCGTGGCCCTGCAGCAGGTTCTCAGGGGGCCAGACTTAGATGGGGTGGCTGAAGGGCAGGGGTGGGGATGGGTGGCTGCAGGGCAGGGGTGGGGTTGAGACTGAGGGGCCACGCAGAGCACCCCTGGTGACAAACAAGAGTGTGTGAGGCGCACAACAATGATGCGGACATGAGCTGGCAGCCCGCGTTACTCCGTGAGAAGGAGCCAGCGTGGAGGCAGGAGCTGCTGGGCGCTGAGTCTGCAGCTCAGGCCTCCGTGTGGTGGTGGGCGCCGTGTGGTGGAGACGCCTCAGGACTCACACCCAGTTGTTTCCCGGGCTGGCGCTCACTGCCCAGGAAGGAGGCACCCCAAGGACATGCTCTTTGGTGGGGCGTGTTTCTTGAGAAAGGAATTCCAGGAGACAGTCCTCTCCTTCTCCTTCCTCTTCTGCTCCCGCCCCTCGGGCCCTGTCATTGCCCCAACCACGTGCCGCCTGGCTCTGCATGTGGAGCTTGGACTCTGTTGTGGGACCGTCCCCTTGCTCCTAGTGCTTAGGGCAGTGATGGCGAACCTATGACACGCGTGTCAGAGGTGACACGCAAATTCATTTTATTGGTTGATTTTTCTTTGTTAAATGGCATTTAAATATATAAAATACATATCAAAAATATAAGTCTTTGTTTTACTATGGTTGCAAATATCAAAAAATTATTTCTATATGTGACACGGCACCAGAGTTAAGTTAGGGTTTTTCAAAATGCTGACACGCCGAGCTCAAAAGGTTCGCCATCACTGGCTTAGGGAGGGGGCTAGGCCTGAGCCAGGTGCTGGCCTTCTACATATGGAGGGAAGGAGCAAGGCACAGAGGGGTGGGGATGGGGTGGCTGAAAGACGGCTTCCTGAAGAGCAGCCTTGGGCAACCGATGCGTGAACAGTGCGTACTCAGGGCCTCTGCGCTCTCTATGGCCAGGTCGATGCCCGCCGGCGGCAGTGCAGGCCCGGCAGCGGCAGCTTTCACCGTGTGGACGGCGGGCTCTCAAACCACAGACCCAGCTGGGAGGTTATTCACCGACGACTTCCACGCCCAGCGTCTCATCCGTGGAGTGGTCCATGGACACGCCTGGCGGGGACAGTGTTCCTGCGTGTCCGTTTACAGCCCAAATCACTTAAAAGGGCCTCAGAGAGGGAGACCCAGCTCAGGGGGAAGAGCTCGGTCATGCGGATGCATCGCTCTGTGCGGCTGAGATGGACACAGCGATGCTGAGGGTGGTACACGGGGCTCAGGCACCGTCCCCGTCCCCTTGTCCTCGTGCTCTGGGAGGTGGCTGAAAAGTACTATCACTGCCTCCCCAGTGGTCTTTAAAAAAATGCTTTTATTGATTTCAGAGAGGAAGGGAGAGGGAGAGAGAGACAGAAACACCAACGATGAGCGAGAATCATGGATCGGCCGCCTTCTGCACGCCCCACACCGGGGACCCACCGCACAACCCAGGCACGTGCCCTGACCGGGACTCGAACCGTGACCCCCCCGGTTCATGGGCTGACGCGCAACCCCTGGGCCGCACGGGGTTTGGACTGGGAGGGTGCACACCTACCTTTTCCAAGTACGTGTAACTCCACGTTTTGCCATCCGCGAAGACCCGCGACACGATGCGCCCCTGCCCGTCGTAGTCCACCTTCTCGCTGGTGGTGCCCCGCTGGATGCTGGCGATCTGCCCGGTGGACGCGTAGGTGACGTTGACGGCCATCAGCTTGCTGCTCGGCAGCCAGAGCGTCGGGTGCCCGGACGTGTCGTAGGCGATCCGCAGCAGGAACTTGCGGTGGTCGTCGTAGATCTTCTCCGTCTTCGTGGTCCGATCGAAGTCGACGGAAAGGAGGTTCCTGCCGTTGACCTGTGAGCACACCAACCGGGCGACACGATAAATCACACGGATCCCGTTCCCGCCCCGGGTTACCCTTCCGTGTCCCCACCGCGGCTTAAACACCATTTACGGTGATTGATTCTCTTTGTCAGTAAATTAATTTCGCAACTTCTCGCGTACGAGTGCAAGGCAGCAGATTAACTGCTCCTCTAAAAGGTTTCATTAAGCAGAAAGACAGCCTGGCGTTTGTTCAAAACCCTTTCAGTTAAACTTTGTAAACTCGAGCAACCGATAAGAACAGCACCAGAACGCGTCTGCTTTAGAGCTGGTTCAGACCATACGGAGGCGGGAAATACGTCGCTGCAGATGGCGCCCGGCCCCTCCCACGGGCACTGGGAGGGAACTGCTCAGGGGTTAATCGTGGCCGCATGAAATACAACAGGGTAAGCGGGGCTGTCGCCCTCTGCAGAGCAGTTGCGTGGAAGCTGGAACCCACATTACCATAAATTATTAACGAGCGGAGACAGCAGGAGGCTACAAACACGAGCATTGCTTTTGGCCAAATGCTGAAATGTCACCACTTTCCCGAATGCCTTTTCCTTGGATGCCACCTGGTTGACTGGCAGGGACTTCAGATCCTCTGCTCCCCCGCCCGCCCGGCCCGACGTCTGTGATTCGTTTACGAGTCTCGCACCACGTTGCTGGGAGAGGGTCTCTGTGGCCCACGCCACGGCCAGAATCGTCGACCACGTGTGGTTGTTACTGTCGGTGACCCATGGCGCACCCAAATCAGCAAGCGTCACAGCCGCGGGGATGTGGCCTCGGTTACGTGGCCTCGGTAAGTTCTACCTCACAACGGCCCGCAGTGTTCGCAGCCTGGGGACCCGCAGGGGGAGGCGGGGACCTCGGCTCTTAGGTCTGCGATGTGGCCTGGTGGCTGGTACATAACGAAGTCTTGTTGACCGTTTGGATTGTTACAAATTAAATGGGGAGATCTTAATTTCCCACGACCATGTCCCAGCTCGGACCTTCAAAATGGAGCACACAGTCCCTTCCTCCCCAGAGCGAGGAGGGTCTCCGTGTAGAACCAGAGAACCAGCGACATAAGATCAGATTTCCCCTCCTTCCCTCTGCTCTTCCTAATTTCCTTTTATGTCTGAAAACAGACAAAACAAGGATACACTTATACACAGCTCATCACAAAGAACAGCCGCAACATATGCTCGGGGATTGGCCTGCTCTTCCCGCTCCTGGCACCTGCCTAACCTGTGCCCGAAACAGCCCCTTCCCGTCCCTGTGCTGCCTGGTCTGAAAGCCAGCGTCCGCGGACAGGGTGGATTCTCCGGGGCGGGGTTAGGAACACACGACCAGGCCTCTGTTGACAGCGTACTTGCCAGAGCCTCACGTGATTCTCTCACGTAACAACGGTGGGGACAGAGGCAGGGAGGGAACATTTCATTCATCCACAATACAGCTCTGTCATGTCTGCTTCGTGAGGGAGCATCTGGGTAATATGTTACTCAGATCATGCTATAGACAGCCATGCCCCAGATAAGGCCATAAGGCTGACGGATGTTATGATTTCCCCAGAAGGCTAGTGATTAGTAAAAAGTGGAGCCCGGTCTAGAACCGCGGGTTCTGAATTCCAGGTGGGCTGTGTCTTTGGAGTGCAGACCGGGGAGCACGCGTGGGAGCAGTGTCCTTGCGTGTCTGATGAAGACAGTCCTGTGCCTGAGACTGTGTGTGTGTAACCTGCCTGCTTTAGGGACAGTGAGTAGGAGACAGCCTGGAGCTGCCTTCTGGTTTGCAATGGCCCCAGGAAGCAGGTCCTGGGGAGAAGCAGAGAGGGGTGCAGGCAGAGGGGGTGCAGGCAGAGAGGGGTGCTGGCAGAGGGGTGTAGAGGGGTACAGGCAGAGAGGGGTGCAGGCAGAGGGGGTACAGGCAGAGAGGGGTGCAGGCAGAGAGGGGTGCAGGCAGAGGGGGTGCAGGCAGCCACTGAGGCCAGGCTCCCTGTAAGGAAAGGTGGCAGCTGGAGTCAACTGTGGCAACAGCCCTCGCCCCTCGCCAAGTGACCTGGGGCAAGTCCGAGCCTGCTTTCTCGCCCATCCATCACGTCACCTCCTCCTGGCGTCCACTGCTCTCCCTTCTCACTCCTCTCCCTGAGCCGCCCTCCCTCTGCCTCCCCAGCCCCTGCCTGCCTCCTGATCGGGGACGGAGCGCGGGCATCCGGGCTCGCACAGCCTGGGTGCGGGTGGGGTGGGAGCACGTGGCACTGGTGCCCGAAGACCTGGATTCAGTACCAAACACCGGCCTTGCTACTGAAGGGGCATCAGAATATGACCCGTCAGGGGCATGCAGACTGTATTTGACCCATCGGTCCTTTTTTCACTTCATTTTTATTTCTTGGAAATAGAGACAGGGTTGTAGTCAGTAGCTGTTTTTTGTTTTGTTTTGTTTGTTTTTTGTTTACCCTAAAGGTTTGTCAAGGTAAATCATGTTGGATTGTGATAATAACCATTTTTGGTGTAGAAAACATGGACATTTTAATGGTGTGCTCTGTTCTCTCTCTTTGATTTTAAGTACTTTTGCTTAATGGCATGGCAAGTGATTTTAGGAATAGTTACCTAGTTATCTGATAAACTAAAACCTGTTTACTAATAGAAAGAATGGGTCAGGCTCAGTTTGCAGGGGTCTGAAGGTGGTTTTCTTGTCACCTGTGTTTTAGTACCGAGTCTATGTTGTCTTAGATTAAGCACTAAATAGGTGTCCTACGTCACCGCGTGCTTCCGAGATATACGCGGCTCGGTGTGAAATGGTCACGCAGAGAACACTGCAAAGGCCAAGGTCACCAGCATAGTCAGAAAGGTCATTACATTCCTCTTACACATCCCACAAGTCCATGGCGAGGAGGCAGGCGCTAGGTCTGACGCCGATACTCCTCCATGGGCCAAACTGTACTTTAAAAACTTGAGAATATAAAGAACTAGCCACCTTCCACTGGCCAGCCCACCTCTCCATGCCTGTCTTTATGATCTGGAAAACTTTCAATAGCGAAGCCCTTTCTTAATGACCCCCATCCCCGCATCAGGAAGCCACCATCCCCAGTGGGTGACGGACAAGCTAAGATTTAAAGATGACGTTAGTGAAATAAGAACCCGTTGGCACCCGGGCCGCTGGAGGCCGTGCTACATGCACTTCCCTGATTTCCCGGGAAGAACCATTTATGGTCATAGACTCTGCTCTCCGACACTCACCCTGAGCTTCCGGCCAAAGACGTTGACTTTTCCTTGGGCTTGCTCCTTCCGGAACCTCCACTCCACCAGGTTCTGGCCGTTCTCCCCGGGGAGGGTCATGTTCCTCTTGGCCATGGTTGGGTTGGCCGTGCCGGCCAGCACGTGCGGCTCCGTCTGGTAGTGGGAGTCGAGCCCGCTGGCGTAGATGATCCTCAGGGAGCCGTCGTAGCCGATCTGGTAGCTGTTTCTCAGCTGGTCTGCAGGACAAGCAGCAGAGAGCGTCAGCCACAGGCGTGGATTAAGCACTCGGCCGGAGACGCCGTGAGAAGTGACACCAATTTCTAAACTGTTGACCGAACTGCATTTGTAAGGAAATAAAAACGCTTAAGGACGTCCGCTTAGGAAACAGTAAGACGACTCTGATTTCTGGCATTTCACGCCGCATCGGGGGTGGCCGACGGTGAGAGGAGAACGTGGGGGGTACAGGCCTTCTCCGCTATCGAGGGGCTCCTTTTCCTCATCTGCCTGACGAACTAAATGAGGGTCGTGCAGTGAGCGTTCTGCAAAGAGCCAAGGATGTGCTCCTCCGGAGGCTGGTGTCACCTCCAGCGTCTAGGGGACCCTCCTCCCCCGTCCCTGTATCTTTTACCAAAGGATGCTGAAAGGATTTAATAGCTATACCTTCTCTACCCCAAATATACAGTGTCCCAAAATTCATGCAAGATTTGCAACTCAATTCGATTACAAATCTCGAGTGAATTTTGGGACACCCTATATAAGGCAACTGTTCACCTGAAATGGACATTAAAAGAAGAGACTCATCTTACATTCGGTACCAAAGACATTTCGTATTGTAAGCTACTGCTTCAGCTTAAGATGCTCGAATAACAGACGATTTGGAGAATAAATGAACTCGAGCAATACTAATTTCAGACGACTGAGCAGAATACCTGACAGAATCAGTAACAAACAACAACAACAAAATGAGTCGAAGAAGTTTAGCTCAGAGCTAGCAATTCCCAAGGGCTACGCCCTCACAACTTTGCATCGTAAAGGACTCTGGCGGGAGGTCCCGTCATGGAGACGTTGGACGCAGATGCCTACAGACTGAAGAGCTCCAAGTGCAGACATTACATACGTGCATGTTTGGAACTGGGATAGAATCTCCAGTGACCACACCACAGGGGCATTCAGACACCGTGTCCCGGACTCAGGAAGGGCCGTGCCCCCAACACGGGACGCCCGGCGGTGAGGGTGACGGGCTCAGGACACCAGGACGGTGACCCAAGGAGGGTCTGATGATGCATGTGAAGCGTGGGAATACACTGTTTTATTAAACGGGAATGGACGGTTTCCAGGTTAACAAAGTGTTTTCTATATGACGTAACTTTATAATATAGCGTGTCCCCAAAAGTGAATACACACTTTAACAGCTGATAACTCGCTTCATTTTCACTCCTTTTCAGGTTTAACTGATCTGAAATAACGGGTGAAGCCAAACTAAGCTTCGAACAAAGAAAATGTACCCTAAAGGGCCACTAGACTTTTTTTTTAACGGGGATACATGAAAGATAAAGTTTATGGTACAAAACAGGCAACAGGCAACACACAAAATGATTCTTGATGTTTGTGATTCCATCACTTTGCGTTATCAGCAGTGTCTGGACCAGAACGGGCATCAGTTTGAAAACAGGCATTGATAAAAAATAATTGTTCCTTTCTGTAGATTCCTGTACATTTTGAAAATGAACTGTACGTTAATAAACAGCGACTTTATAACCAATGTATACTTTTTTTGGGACACCCTGTATGTACATATAACTCAACAACCATTACGTGTAGACATGCGGCTGTCTCCTCACCATCTCTGGAGGTTTCCATGTTCCCCTCCCCTGTTCCGGTTCACCTGAGACAACGAGGTGGCCACGTTCTCTCTGGGGGCCGGGCCTATGTTTAAATGGTGCTTTCGTGTTTACCTTGAACCATGGTGTAGAAAGAGTCGATGGAGGACAGATTGGAAGTGATGCTGACATCCTCGTCTCGGCTGGACGACTCCAGGTCCACGGTGATGGCCCTGTCCATGTCGCCATGGAGGTTGGTGACCACTCCCGTCGGGAAGGTGACGTTGGTCAGGCGACCTTCGCTGTCGTAGCTGAATACAAAGGCAGGGGCTCGGTGTTAAATGGGCAACGGGGGTTCTCCTCTAAGTGTAACGTGCGGCTCCGTCCGCTGCACAAATTGGGAAGAATATTTGTCTTCGCGCAAAGAGCGGTGCAGACAGAGGACTTCAAACATGCTTTGAAGTCACCAAAGCCTGTTTGACACGGAAACCCTCCCCGGTGAGCGCGAGTCAACAGCACACTCTCCCGCCCAGCGCATCCGTCTTTGAAGTGTGACCAAGACCTGCCTGCACATCCAATTTGCTGTTTCAAAGGGAACATGTTTGCTGATGTTAAACTCCCAAGTATTCCTCCCCATTTCCCACAAAGTAGACTTAATGCGCAGTCCTATCAGTTTTGAAAGATTTAGTAACGTCTGCTCTATATGGCAGTGCAACCCGAATACATATATAACTTTGTGAAATAGTGTGTATACATACAGGTATGTATTTGTGTATTTAAACATGCTCCTTGAGTGTCCTGAGACATCTTTAACAAACTAATAAGATAACAGTCTATTAAAGACTTTCTTATTCTCAGGGATTGACATGTTTTATCATGGTAAACTGGGGCGTAAGTGTTGGGTGGGATAGTGAGACTCTATCTTGTCCACACTGACATGGTAGGATTGGGAGGCATTTTGAACAATCATCCTAAATAATAAAAACCCTAATATGCAAATCAACCGAACAGCAGAACGACCGGCCGCTATGACAGGCACTGACCACCAGGGGGCAGATGCTCAATGCAGAAGCTGCTCCCTGGTGGTCAGTGTGCTTCCACAGCGGGAGCACTGCTCAGCCAGAAGCCAGGCTCATGGCTGGCGAGTGCAGCGGCGGTGGCAAGAGCATCTCCCGCCTCTGAGGCAGCCCTCTAAGGATCCTTCGGGGGCTCCCTGCAGGGAGTGGGCTTAAGCTGGCAGTCAGACATCCCTCAAGGGGTCCTGGACTGTGAGAGGGTGCAGGCAGGGCTGAGGGACCCTCTCCCCCCACAAAGTGCACGAATGTCATGCACCGGGCCTCTAGTTTATTATATTTACTGAAATGAGGTATAATGTTTACTGACATTTAATGATTACTTGCGTTTTTATTATACTTACTTTACTTTTTATACTTTTATTACTTTTTAAGCATATAATATAGGAGGCACTAATAATTTAAACGTTAAGATACATTTTATTTTAACTTTGTTGATTTCAGAGAGGAAGGGAGAGGGAGAGAGAGAGAAACATCAATGATGAGAGAGAATCACTGATCGGCTGCCTCCTGCCCACCCCTCACTGGGGATGGAGCCTGCAGTCCAGGCATGTGCCCTGGCCAGGAATTGAACTGTGACCTCCTTGTACATAGGTCGATGCTCAACCACTGAACCACACCGGCCGGGCCTTAAGATACAGTTTAAATAGCTGTCCCATAATCATAAATATGTATTACAGATGCAGCACTTCACTAAAGAATTGATTTTTTTGGTGACTTTTCCACTTGTGGTAGCATCAGAGAACATTTCAAAAATGACAATGTGGTTTGAAGAAAAAAAATGCAAATCATGGCTGAAAAAGCAGGGATTTCCTTGGGACAACCATATCCTTAAGATTGGGTTTCAGATGGGTACTAAGGCTGCTTCACTAATAAAAGGTCTAAGCGAACTGGAGACTCTGACCAAGCCCTACCCAGGGTCAGCCCAGATGTGGGCCATGTAGAGAGAGCACCTTAATAGCGACAGGCAGGGGAGAGAGCGTGGAGAGCATCTTAATCATAGGTGTGAGTATGGGCAACAAGGGGCAAGGGCTACAGAAGTACCTACATGATATTCTGTTCTAAAAGGACAGAGGGCTTTTAAAGTGTAAAAAACTAGCTTTGAGAGCTTGGTTAATAACTAGGCGAAGGTTCTAGGTCATGAGAGTAGAGAGGACAGGGTCACGGTGGGGCTGGGTGAGGAGACGGAGGGAGAGCACGGGGTCTGCTCAGCCCCCCGATCGCTGATCCCAGTGCCCCCATGGGCGGTATCAGATCATGGCTGGACTGACATGTTCTGACACTCGGCCACGCTGCTCAGCCAGCGGCAGGGCTGGGGCCTGGGAAGAGAGCAGCGCGAAGGAGAAGCGAAGAGAAAGAAAATGCGCCATTAAGTGCAACCACTGTTTGGACCCATAAAAGGCAGAGCTGAGATAGGAAGGGAGACCGCCCCACCCCCCAGCCTGCATGCAGGAGCCCAGCCCGGTGTACCGCTGTCCTTGCTTGGAGAAATGACTGCTCTCCAAGACACAAATACACGCAGGCCTATTTACACAGAATCACTGATAACACCAGCCTGCGGAGAGATCTCACCTGGATGTATTCTTATCCCACGTGACGTTCTCACAGCGTAGCGTGGAAACGCCGTGTTTTGAAGAAAGGATCATCCTTTTGAATCTCCTATGGAGCATGTATTCACACTGCATTCTCCCTCCCCGCCGTTTCCAGACGGCAAGTGGGCACGGGCTGTGGTCAGGAGAGTTGGTCAGCCTCTGGCTGCATCTCACGCCGGGCCATCCCTGGGACCTTCATGCCGGGGCCCAGGCCCATTATCCTTGTGCCAACCACGGGCTTGGTTCCCAGGGAGTCCAGCTTTCCGCAGGCGATGCCACCTGCCAGGTCACCTGCCCCCTTTAACCCTCCGGCTGGCGTACGTTTTCCGGATCCATACAATCTAACTCGGGAACATCCCGTCTCCCGCAGAGAGCATCTCCCAGCTGCCGCCTTGGCTCTTCACGGCTCACCCCTGCGCCGTGTCCCGTGGCAGGGATGCCGGGCACACGCATGGGAGAGGGTGCTGGCACGCAGACCCTGACCTACCAGCCCTGGCTCTCTGGGAGGGAAAAACAAGTCCCGCTGCGGGTGGTGCAGTGAGTGACCGGCTGAGCTGGGGTCTGCGTGGCCTGGTCGGTCTGGCCGGGAGGTTCTGAGTTGGCCCTGGAGGAGCGGCCGAGTGTCCGTGAAGGTACCCATGGGGCTCAAGTGCACACACAGGCGGGCCAGGCGGGCGGCCAGCGCGAGGCCCCAGCACCTGCCTGCCCAGCTCTTCCCAGCTTCTCACTGAGCGCACAGGGCGGGCGAGGTACTGCGGCCACAACGCGCACGCGGAGCCGGATGGGAGGGGAGTCACGCAGGAAAACTGAGCTACCGAAAACGAGGGCCGCGTGGGCTCGGGGCGCACGGAGAGATGCCACCACGCCGAGCAGCGAGGGAGGCCCACCTCAGCTGGGACCTCGCCCAGCCTGGACCGAGACGCAGGATTTAGGCAGAAAAGGCAGGACGGCATTCCGGCCACGGCCACGGCCACGGCCACAGCAGGTGAGGGGTGGAGGAGCATGGAAGGGCAGCGAGGTCAGGGAGTGGACAGCCCGGCTGACGTGGGTCCTCTTAGTGTCCATTCTGCAGTAGAGGGAGGCCCCGGCGGGTTTCACCAGGGGGTGGGAGGAGAGGGGACCGTTAGAGCTGAGGAGCGTAGTAAAGGAGGAAGCGGGGACGTTAGGAGCTGATGATGGCAGCACGCACAGAGCCGGGGCGAGGGGCCGGGTCAGGCGGAGCGTGCCTCTCAGACCTGACGATTTTCCTCGCCAAGAAAGAAAGTCAGGGACAGACACGGGGTTTTAAATGACAAACGATCACCGGTTTCCTCCAGGGTTTCCTAAAGAAAGGCCCGGCACACAGATCAAAGCTAGGAGGCACCTGACTTCAGGGCGAGCGATCTTTCCGAGGAATAGGTGAAACCTGATAAAAAAACCTCCCATCATTATTTTGTTTCATTTCAGTGGGGACCAGCGACAGCTGCCCCCCAGGTCAGCACCCACGTCCAGAGAAATGAAAGCAAGGTGCACATGGCCATGCACGGTACCAGGGGACTTGGGAATAGGGAGTGAGCGAAGGAGGCAAGGGCGACTTTAGGGGACTTTGAGAATGCCAAGTGACCCCTCCTGACCCGGACAAAAACAGACACACAACGCCCAGCAACCGGCCAACCGCCCTCTGAAATACGGGGGCCGTGGGAAGGGAGGCCTCCCCCCAAACCTACGCTTGTGGACATACTCCCCACTTCCGGGCGCTCCGTGGCTGTCCTCACTGCAGCCGGCCTTGGCCTCCGGGGTGAACAGCCCTGCCCAGCCTTTGTTTCTCTCTGAGTGCATCTCTTTCATTCGTGTTGGGACTTCACAATGCGACAGGCCCCAGGGAACTGGAAGAGAACATCAGCTTCCTGCTCTCCTTCTATTCATGGGCCCAAGCCTCTGGGCTTCCAATTCACAGCCCCAGCACATCCTCTCCGCTCAGATGGCCCCTCCCAGAAGCCTGGCTGGGAAAGGGCTCGCTCCCCAGGCCTCAGGGCCTCCGTTCGTTCATGTGTTCACTCATGGGATGCCCTTGTCTGATGTTTATCTATCTGTTGTCTCTAATTTTGTTGCGTTTTTGCCTAGCCTTGCTGTTCTAGCCTTTGTGGGATACTATAAACTCTCTTTTCAAGTCTCCTAAGCAGGGGGAATACGGACAAATGCCCCAGAGATCGGGCTTCAGCCATTCTCTGTGGAAATGATGTATTCCTCCGGGCGGGACATTCTCTCTCTCCCCTCACAGATACGGAGTTCCTGATCCTTCCCTTTGTCTTCATCACGTCTCTCACGTCTTCCCACCCCCACAGCTGCCCTAGATTTAAAGCAGGTCTGGCCTCTCCCCATTGTCACGGGAACGCCAGGTGACACTCCTCCGTGAAACATCTGCAGTGGCCCTTCCACTGGGAGAAGATCGACGGACTCAAACTGTGACCCACACGTGTTAGCAGACGATGGATCCCGCACATTTAACCTAGCAGGATTACCTATTGTCTTGAGTGCTTCCCTGGGAGTAAAATCCTTTGATCTCCTTTGATCAAATGTTTTTAAAATTAATCTTCTGTTTTTGAGAAAAAACCCGTGAAAATAAGAGCAGGGATCGAGAGAAGCCAGTGAACCCGAGACGAGAAC